TGCACATTTTGAAACTCTAGTTGTGTGTTGCTTTGTTCATATTTTGTTTCAGACATAGAAGTACATAAAAAGTAGATGATTTAAAATAACTAGTGTTACTTTCTGTCCTAAGTATTTGACTTAAGAGAAATATGTAATAAATACAAAATGATCTTAATAATGAATGCAGAAAGTACCCCTTAGAAGGTATTTTTGTTTCCAACTTTGAATATTAATGTCTAGGAATGCGGCCAATGCATATCCTAGCACTTTTTGATTGTACTGCTAATGATCTTTCAATTACTCAATACTCTCCTAGAAAAGGATACTAAAAAGCCAAGGCAAGAATAATTTCCTTAACTGAGGTTAAAAGTTTAAATTTGAATTTCCATTCTATTTGTTTATACTTTATGGATAACTTTTGTAATTTTGCTGAAAATAAGTTGAGTGTTTGAAACCATTCCAGGGTTTAACACGCACCAATCATGTAGTCAATATTCTGATAAGCAATTTATTTTTCTATTTCTATTGTTTTAGTGAGTCAATCTCTCTCTCTCTCTCTCTCTCTCTCTCTCTCTCTCTCTTCTGGCTCTTTCTCTCTCTCTCTTTCATACCAAATTTGAACTCAGGGTCTGACATTTATTAGACAGGCATTGTAACACTGGACCTTTCCCCCACTCTCTTTTTTCTTTCCTTTATTTTTCCTATTAGGATTCAGGTATTTTTTCCTGTGGAGCTGGCTTTAGTCTGTGATATTCTCTGTCTCTCTGTCTCTGTCTCTGTCTCTCTCTCCTCCCCCTCTCTCCCTCTCTTTCTGGCTCTGTGCACTATTCCTGAGCTTTTGTGCTCAAGGCTAGTGCTCTACAAGTGGAGCTGCACTTCTGGCTTTTTTTTGGTTAATTGGAGATAAAAGACTCATGTTCTTTTCTGCTCAAGCTGTCTTCAGACCATGATCTTCATATCTCAGCCTCCTGAATAGCTTGGATTATAAGCGTGAGCTATCAATGTCTAGCTTATTTTGTAATTCTACCACATAGCTGGGATTTATGGGCTTACATTATCATGCTTGTCTTATTAATTGAGAAAGGTTGGTAACTTTGATTCCAAATCTCTCCCAATCTGTTCCCAATCTGCCTCCCAAGTCGCTGATATTCTAGATATGAGCCCCAGTGCCTCAGTCTTACTCTTAATAAACTACTAATCGTGCTTCTTTTCTTTTGGGACTAACTATAAATATCAGTTTAAGAAGGAACAGAGTATATCTCTGGTCTGTGTGGCAACATCATATCTTGATGAACAGCACCAAGGTGAGAGTTGATGTGTGCGTTCAAGAGAGATCACAGAACAATACAGGGAAGCCAAAGAGAAAGGAGATGGGCCAGCATTTGTCTGGTATAACAACGCTTATAGAGAGACTTAATCAAGAGAGCACCATTACTTCCTTCTGATGGCGGTGGTCCAAGTGGCCCCGCAATTGGGTGCTACCTCCTAAAGGACTATTTTTCTCTCACATCAATATGAAGAACCAAACCTCCCCTGAATGAATTTTTTTACCCTTATTTTTGCCATTCTACAAGGCAGTTTATGAATACAGTGCATCTTGATCAGTGTCACCCCTTTCTTTCATTGTTCTCACTCATCCCTCTTAACCCACCCCTTTCCTCACTTTTCTTACTTTTTGTAGGATATAGATGGAATTCTTGATTGCATTCATTAATCTTTATTCTCTTCACTTGTATACTCTTCTTCTTCTCTTCCCCCCACCCCATACCTTTCAAGTACCCATTTCCTGGTGTTTATTTCACAAGTGAATTCTTGAGGGAAGAAAACATATCCTAAGTTAAGAATTCAGATCCTAAGCACTGAGAAAGGATGAAGAACAGTATGGTTTAAATTCAGAAGCCCAATAAAATTAAAGCAAGTGGGGAAAAAGCAGGAAATTTATAGCATTTGTAATAATGAGGAAGTAACGCACTCTGTTGGAACTTGTGATGTTCGTGTTGGATGACTGTCAGAAGTATCATGGAAGGAATTTCTGCAGTAGAAGGTAGTTGAACCTACTGATCTTGAATTCCTGTGAGCCCATTAATCTGTGGCTTTCCCTCCAAAGGAAATTTGTTCATGTCATGCTATCTCACAAAGGGTGATGGAGATGGGCAGGAAAGTTGTCCTCACTGAAGTGATCATATATAGAGTACAATGGTATTTATTTATTTATTTATTTTTGTTGGTCTTGGGGCTTGAACTCTGGGCTTGGGCACTGTCCCTGTACTCTTCAGCTCAAGGCGAGTGCTCTACAGCTTGAGCCAATGCGCCACTTCCAATATCAATGTGGTTTTTTTTTTTTTTTTTTTTGGTCTGGTTGTGGGGCCTGAACTCTGGGCCTGGGCGCTGTCCCTCAGCTCTTCAGCTCAAGGCTAGCGCTCTACCACTTGAGCCACAGCGCCACTTCCAGCTTTTTTCCTTTTGCTTATGTGGTGCTGAGGAATCAAACCCAGGGCCTCATGCATGCAAGGCAAGCGCTCTACCGCTGAGCCACCTTCCCAGCCCCAAATATCAACGGTTTTAAGAATGTAAAATGCTGGTGTCATGGTAAAGCACCTGCTTAACAAGTTGAAGCTGTGAAGTAAAATTCTAGTACTGCAACAGAAATAGCTAATTATGGCAAAATTGTTTTCATCAGTAATACACAAAAAGATGATAGTGGATTAAACAGATGACTGAGAAGGGAGTGAGGAAAAATATTTTATGGGAACATTGTTGTGAATTGAATTCCTTAGATTAAGTATATGGACAGTCCTCTGACATATCAGTGACCCCGATACAGTATTTTCTCTATTAGCAATGTAGCAGTGAGACTATTACAGTCTCTTGATGGCCTTATGTTTATGTAGAAGAACCCTCCTAGCATAATTCAGGATCCCCTTTGGGTATAAAGCTGCAGGGCATTGTCAAATTGGAGTCTTCAAATTACCATGGGCTTGATGCTATTTAAACGTTATTTCATAAACTGAACTCTGCTCTGATTTTCTGTTTGTTAACCCACATTCTGATTATAATTTGACTTTCCATCTAGTTCATGCTAAAGGGAGATAGTGCAATAGTTATGCTGATACAAACATTGTGATCCATATGGCAGTTGTGGTTCTCATCGTGAACTAATGTAGTTAACTGAATGGCATTCAAGTTTGTACATTAATGTTGCTCTACTGCTGAAAGATGACTCTACTCAGAGTACCTAAATGAAAGAAGGTCTCCTTTCTAAGTTTTCAAAGCTGAGAGCCAGACTAAGGTGGTGGATTGAGTTGAACTTTTCTTATTGGAAGTAGTTCAGCTTATATCGGAGTTGCAGAAGTCAGAAATGGTCAGGAAGATATGAGAAACTACTTAAGAGTAAAATTCAGTAGAAAGGAGGCAGGTGAAGCTGTAGAAAATGGCTGAACAGTTTTTTTGTCATTTTGGGTTGAGCATGTTTTGTTCATTTAACGTAAGTTGAAATGAAAGAAAAAACATTTATCCTTCATTTGGTAAAGCATCTTCCTTTTATGATTAATTTTCAATGACTTGATTTCCTTGTTATTTCTTTGAAATTCAAGCTGCTTCTCCCTCCCCGCCCCCGCCATAATTTCCCTGGTTTTGTTGTATTTAATTAAGAAAATATTTTGAGGTTTCTTCATACTAACCAGTGATCAGGACTTTGATTCACTGTTTATATTTAAAATCTAGTAATTGTTTTATTCAATTATGAGTCTTATGCAATAAAACTTTGAATTTCTCCAGTACATATTAACCAGCCTTATTATCCAAATTGTTAGGGATCAAATGTGTTTCAGATTTTGGAATAGTTGCAGTGACTGTTCTTGTTAAGTATCTTTAGTCCAAAATCCAAGTGTTTCAAAATATGAAATATTCTGAGTGTTATATTAGTGTTGAAGATGTTCTGGATTTTGGGATACTTTAGATTTGGGTTTTTAGATTAAGGATTTTACCTTGAGTCTGTAGAGGGCGGCAAGGCGCAAGTGGTAGAGTGTCTGCTTTGCAAGGTCGAGGCCTTGCGTTCTATCCCCAAAGAAATTCTTGAATGAAAGTGTGTAATCGTAATGGTTGAGAATTGATTTTCCTAGAAGAGGCTCTAAGTACTGTACTCTCTTAACAGTTCTGGAAAAACCCTTTTCATGAAATATATTTTCTTACTTGCAATACATCTCCATTTGCTCTTATCAAATTTCTGTGACTTAAATGCATGTGTGTAGTGTGATTGTATGTAAAATGTTAGATTCTTTTTTTAACTGTGCACTTTTTTTTCCTTCTTGACCTTTTTGTTGACATTATTAAGGAGTTGTACAAAGAATGTTAGGATTTAAAATATGTTTTAACTGCATTAAGGTAACATGTTTTTCTGTAATTAAGAAATTAATGGCATCATATTTTGTAGTTTACATTCCCAATGTTTTACTGATATTTAGGGCAAACTCGTAGCATTAGCTTTTTTTACCCTCTGATTCACTAATGACAATATTATTAAATATAAAGGATTGTATCTTGTTTATTTTGTTTTTAGAATTATTAAAGTATTGTTTGCTGTGTTTTCTTACAACTTCCCAAACTTCTTTTTTTGGTCAGCCATGGGGCTTGAACTCTGGGCCTGAGCAGTCCCTCAACTCTTCAGCTCAAGGTTAGTGCTCTACCACTTGAGCTATCATGCCACTTCTGGTTTTCTGAGTGGTTTATTGGAGATAAGAGTCCCATGGACTTTCCTGCCTAGGTTGGCTTTGAACTGTGATCATCAGATCTCAACCTGAGTAGCTAGGATTACAGGCGTGAGCCACCGGCACCCGACTATTGACGTCTGAATTCTATAACTTTACCTCATTTCACAGGCAGGCAGAGTGTTTCATATTAGCAAAGTAAAGGGACCGACAAAATCAAGTGTGTATTCTAATTCACTTCCTTGATTTGGTGATCCAGATAAGTATTTCTTGGCTTTTTTTAAATGATTGACTCTCTTTTCAATTTCACAGGAAAAGCATATAAGTAATGAAGAAGAACACTTACGGAGAATGGAAGAGGCCAGATTGCAACTCAAAGATCAACTTCTTTGTCTGGAGACTGAACAGGAATCCATTCTTGGTGTGATAGGAAAGGAAATTGATGCAGCCTGTAAAACTTTCTCTAAGGATTCAATGGAGAAATTGAAAGTAATTATGAGTTCTCATTGTACCTTAAATTTACAGTTAGTTTCCTAATCTATAATTATAATGGGATTATAATATATGATTACCTAGTGGTCACTTTTTATTTTAGAAAGTTTTATGAAGTGAATGGTGTAAGATAATTCCATTGAAATACCTCTGTGTATATCACTGTATAAAAGAAAATGCTTTATAAAAGTCAGCACTTCTGAGTAAGGAAAATATTTTGAGTCATTATCATAGACAGTTTTGGTGCTGGTAGTATAATACCTGCTGCCATCTATTGGGTTCTGTGTGAGGTCCTAAGGTAAGTATTGTTCAGACAGTCACTAAGCCTGAAAACTACCCAATCTATAAAGTATTTTAATCAAATTCACTGTAGAGAAAACCAGACCATCTATAGGGGTTAAGTAATGTGACACTGGATATCTATATAGTTAAATGTTAAACTAAGACTTTAAACTTTGAGGTTCTAATTCTGGAAGCTAAGTAACCACTTAGAGCATATATTAAGCTTACTTTTTCCTTTGCTTAAAATCTAATGTTCCTCATTGACTTACATGACTCTAGGATAGATAGAGAACATTGTATTACTTTGATTTTCTTTACCCATAGCATATTGTGGTGTAGCGTCACTTAGAGTGATATTCTTTATTTCATGATCCCACAGCACTCAAAAGTATGGTATTATGTCTGAAAGATTTTCCTCTTCATGTGTTCTTTTTATTTTGTAATCCTTTTTCTCTTTCCACTTCTAAAATGATCTTTCCTTCCACAGTTCCCTCTTTCTACCACTGCTTTTCTTTTATATGTTTCTTTTTCAAAATAGTGTTTAAAAGAAAACAAAACTACTAAAAAGGTTAGGATTCAGTTTCTTTTTAAATTTTATTTTATTGTAAAGGTGATATACAGAGGTATTATAGCTACATAAGTAAGGTAATGAGTACAATTCTCAGCCTTAATAGAAATATTTCAGTTGGGAGATTTTGATAGAGTTAATAGAAAATTTATAATTTGTATTGCCACATACCTTCTTTATAAAAATGTAAGATGTCAGTTTGTGGAGATGGAAGGCTCATATGAGCAGTAGTTTGTCTTCAGAGGAAGACTGGCTCAGGGCTGATTCAGTGTTTTGATATTGGCTTAGTTCTTTTATTCCTCACAGTGCTTTTAAAGTTTAAATCTTTCTGATTTGCTTATGTTTAAGTTCTAATTCTGACTTAGTTATGTTTAAGTCCTAATTTTACCTAAAAGAAATATATTTTAATAAGTAAAAGTTTGCTCTATATTTAAATACTTAAGTATGGATAGGTAGTATTTTTATCATGTAGGAATATAAAAATGGAAATGTTTGAATCATGTTATATATATCCACCTTGCAAGCAAAAATTTTCTTTGTGGGGGCACAAATTCTCTTTCCATTTTATGCCAAAACATCATCATACTCTTTTTTTAAAGCATGGAGTGTTTGTGGTTAATTGGTATTTACATTTCTTCCTTTAGAGAGAGATAAATTCAGTGGAAGTCTTTGGTAGAAAGTAAATTTAGAAGAGTCTACATATTTTTCTTTGTAGGTCTTTCTACATTAGTAACATCTGTTATTTTGTTGTTACATAATTGGAAAAAAATGGATACCTATGAATTTAGCATTTGCTGTTACCTCTGAGAAAAAGACCCAGAAATTCATTAAATATGAAATGATTATTTTTGTTCTTCTGTGGAAGAACAGCAGAAGAATCATTGACTATGCTTCTAAAAACAGAGAATTCGAAGTTATCTTTTGTCACCTCTTGATTTTAAAAATAATATTACTGGTGAACTCTTCAGCCAGTTGTTATAAAGAGTAGCTGTACTGTGGAATAAATTCAATAATAGATTTGTAAAAAATTATTTGAGAAAAATTCTGGGGAATGTTGAAATTATTTTTATTTTTTCTGGTCACTCTACTTACTTTGTTTTAATAAATTCTTACAATGTTTTTTAAACACAAAGAAAGACATACAGTTAAACTCCATTATAAAATATTTAGAAAGATTAAAGGCACATCATTCTTTTTTAAATTTAATTTAATTTTGTTGTCAAGGTGATGTACAGAGGGGTTACAGTTACATGAGTAAGGTAATGAGTATATTTCTTGTTGAACATTGTTGCCCCTTCCCTCACTTTTCTCCCACTTTCCTTCTCCCATAACTCTCTGGCACCCCAGGTTGTAAAGTTCATTTCCAACATAGTATCTTGTTATTTTGTTATTACTTTTCCCTTCCTCAAATCAAATAAAGGTATATACAAGACACAGGATACCAGAAGAAAAAACAGTGACAACAGGGGATAAACCAAAGCGGGGAACAATGAAAGTAAAAAGAAATAACATCACACAGTACATTAAAAACAACAACGACAACAACAACAGCAAATTCCTCTTGTTTCTATATTTTGGAGTTCATTTCGATTGGCATCATTTTATATGGTGATAAGCTACATCATTCTTTTTTTTTTTTTGTAAATATACTATACAGAGGGTTACAGTTACATGAGTGAGGTAATGAGTACACTTCCTCTTGAACATTGTTACCCCCTCCATTGTTTTCCCCCTACCATCCCCTCCCTCCCTCCCTCCCTTCCCCGAGGTTCTTTTTTTTTTTTTTTTGATTGTGATTAAGTGATTACATAATTTCCGGAAATTCACAGTATTGTGGAATAATGATGCTCATTTAAAGTCACAAGTTCATTCTAAATTTCCTGGAGCAAATTGTCTATCACAGTCTGTAATATATAACGGTGCTCACATGTTACATACCATATATGTGATCAGCAGCATGGGGATATTTAGTAGTGGTTCAACCAGATGAGTGGGAGTTCTTTTTTTCTTAAGTCCTGTTAGTTTTGTCATATCACCTAACATTTTGGATTTAGCATCCACTTATCAGGGAGTACATCATTCTTATAAGCCAATCTTTTATAATTTAAGAATTGAACTCTGGTTCTGAATAATGTCTTTATTTTAATCTGATCTCCACTAATACTTGATCAGAATATTCTTCAGTTGGAGAACATAATAAGGATAGATTTTGGAACCAGCAGATAGAAGTTCAAATTGCATCTCTTCCAATTTCTAATGCATGGCCTTGGATGAGTTGTGTTAATTATCCTAAGAATTTATGTGCAAAGGTCAAACTTGGCTCATTATGCAGCTAAAGTAAAATGACATAGAAGTATATATATTTGAAATATTTTGCACTTTGTAGATACTAAAGTAATGTAAGCTAGTGGTATTTTATGGTGTCTCTTTTGGTAGTATTTTCAGATATAGTTTCTGTTTTTTATGATATAGTTTCTCATCTTTTGTAATATAGCTTCTCTTTTTTTTCATGACAAGTGTCTGTTACTGTGTTCATGTCATAACAGATCCCGAAGTTCATTAAAATGGATGGGTGTATCTCCATGAACAGTAATAGTAGTGCACTGAGGTGTTGTGTGTGCCACACACTGCCGTCACTCACCACATTCAATCTACACCTTAGCCTTATGAGGCAATTTGTCCACTTTGCAGGTAATTACCTTCAGGGTAGGGAGGTCACACCACACTATTCGTCAGTACGCAAGACTATTCTCTTGTTTGTTTTTTTCCTGCCATTTTTAATGTTTGTTTTTTTTTATTGTGAAAATACCATACAGAGGGGTTAAATTACTTGAGCAAGATAATAAGTACATTTCTTTTTTTTCTGGAAATAAATTTATTTTTATTTTTTATGGTGAAAATACTGTACAGAGGGGTTACAATTACATGGACAAGATAATGAGTGCATTTCTTATCAAGCATTGTTGCCTCCTCCTTTGTTTTCCCCTGCCATCCCTGCCCTCGCATCTCCATGAACATATTCCCTTCCTTTCCTCCCACCCCCCCTGCCAAAGTTGTAAAGTTCGTTTTTCAACATAGCATTTTGTACATCTCATTGTTGCAATGGGTCCACCTATATCCCTATTTAAACAATTTGTTTTCCCCTTCCCCTCCACAAATTATACCAACATCAAGTGAAAACAGGGGTTATACTGGGGGGGAGGGACATACAAAGCAACAAAACAATTACCTTATAAATATGCTAGAAACAACAGCAAGAAAGAAAAAAAACCACTTGTGTCTTTATCTTGGGGTTCATTTCGCCTAACATCATCTTATCTGACCTTTTCTGCTTGTCTCAGACATATATTAGTTATTGCAAATAAGGGAAACCATGGGACCTATGTTTCTTTGGGCCTAGCTTACTTCACTGAATATAATTTTTTCCAAGTCTTTCCATTTCCTAACAAATGGGGCAATGTCATTCTTTCTGATGGAGGCATAGAATTCCATTGTGTATATATACCACATTTTCTTGATCCATTCATCTACTGAGGGGCATCTGGGTTGGTTCCATATATCTTAGCTATAGTAAATAATGCTGCAATAAACATAGTCGTGCTGGTAGCTTTAGTATGGTCTTGTTTGTGAACATTCAGGTAAATGCCCAAAAGTGGGATTGCTGGGTCATAGGGGAGCTCTATGTGGAGTCTTTTGAGGAACCTCCATACTACTTTCCAAAGTGGTTGAACAAGTTTATACTCCCACCAACAATGCAGTAGGGTTCCCTTCTGTCCACATCCCCCTCCAGCATCTATCGTTATTAGAGTTCTTGATTATAACCATTCTAACTGGGGCTAGATGGTATCTCAATGTTGTTTTGATTTGCAACTCCAAATAGATCAAAGACCTCAGAGTCAAAGCAGACATTCTGAAACATTACAGGAAGGAATAGGAGAAACCCTAGGTCTCCATGGCACAAGCTGAAAATTTCTTAATAGAGACCCAGAAACACAACAAATCAAAGAAAGGTTGGACAAATGGTATTGCATGAAGTTGCAGAGCTTCTGTATGGCAAAGGACATAGCTAGCAAGATCAATAGAAAGCCCATGGATTGGGAGAAGATCTTCACTAGCCATACAACGGACAAGGGGCTCATATCTAAAATATATCTGAAACTCAGAAAAAATAAATCTCCGTACAACAAATCCTCAAAGAAACAATTGTCCAATAAACAAGTGGGCTAAAGACTTAAAGAGAAGCTTCTCTGAAGAAGAAAGAAGGATGGTCACTAGACACATGAAGAAATGCTCAACCTCTCTAGCCATAAAAGAAATGCAAATCAAGGCTATTCTCTTAAACAAAAAAAACATGAAACACATAAAATTGTATTCCATATCTCAATCATGTCTCCAATCTTGAGCATTTTATCCTAGGTCAAGGAAAGTGTGAGATATATGAAAAGCAACGTAATCAGACTGACTCATGGAGGTTTAAAAATATGCAGCAGAATAGTGGGCTTTGAAAGAGGAAGAAAATGCTGAGAGTGAGGGTGACCAGAGAAAATTTTAGTGCAGTGGACCCGAGGAGACTGGGATAGAAAAGTCGATGAAAGCAAGGTTGGATATCAGAATGTAACACTTTTGATATGGCATGGAGCATCCATTCATCAGCTGTCAGAATGGATGAACTAATGATTGTCTTAGGAAGAAAATCATGTGCAGACACATCAGGAGGTATGGATATACTTGAAGATAGGAGTAAACATTTATTTATTAAAAAACAACCTAGAAATATATCCTGCAAAAGTATCATATATTCCAGGATACAAAGTAAGTGGAATGCTAAGAAACTTTATGTTTATAATTAGGAAGTCACTGACATTCTTTATTTTATTGTAAAGATGCTGTACAGAGGGGTTACAGTTACATGAGTAAGGCAATGAGTATATTCCTTGTTGAGCATTGTTATCCCTTTCCCTTGTTGCTCTCCCATTATACCTTCTCTCCCCCCACCTCTCTCACTCCTCCCCCCCATTCTGTTTTTTTTTTTTGGTATAACATTATTTTAGTAAGAAAGTTAAATTGGATGGCGAGAGGTTCTATGAATGTGTTGTTATAAAGGAAATCAGGGCAGCATATAACAATTTAATATAGAATTTATTATTTTGAAATATAAAGCACTGTTGCATACAGTTGGGTTGAGTTTTTCTGTTCAAAATCACTGAAGAAGCAAAATGGTCTCATGATATTAAGTTAAAGAAAGATAAATGAGGCAAATAATTAAGTTGCCATGTAATTATCAGCCTCTGGGAATACATTATATTGAAGAAGACCAAGGAAAACAAACACACCAAGGTTTCCTGCCATGTGCAATTCTGTGGCATCAACCTTCAGAGATTCTAGTGAGAGTTGCACTTTATAATTGATTATTTTCATGTCTCTATAGTTGAGCTATATTTGAGTATCAGCAAGGAAATAAACATAAGTAAGCACTCAATACATAATGGTTAGACTCAGATGAGACTGGTACCAACTCTTTTTTATTTAATTTTTTTATTGTTATTATAGAGATGATGTACGTAGGGGTTGCAGTTACAAAAGTCAGATGAAGAGTACATATCTTTTTGGACAATGTCACCCCTTCCCTTGCTCTCTCCCAGTTTTTCCCTTTTTTTTTCTTTTTTTAATACATAAGTTTAGTGACTAAGCTTTTAGATGCTATGGTGAATAACTTCATATTAGTTCATGTCAGAGGAAAACCTATAGTGATACCTTCTTCTTTTGTAGGTTTTTTCATCTGGTCCTGATATACATTGTGATCCACATCGCTGGTTAGCAGAAAGCAAGGTAATATTTATGATCTTCAGGACATCCTTTGTTGTTTTGCTGTATGTTTTTTCACCAAATTGAGCATACAAAGCTGAAATACCTTATTGGGGAAGATAACACTGAAGCACATTTGAGAAACTTGAATAGTTTTGTATTTTAATATTTAGAAGTTAGCTTAAGTAGATTGATGTAGAATTAGAGTATGAAGGAATATAAATCTGTTGAAGCATAAAAACCTGGATTGTCAAAAAGACAAATGATTCTTTTTCCTTAAAAAAAGTTTTTTTTTTCTTGTGCTGGTACTGGGGCTTGAACTCATAGTCTTGGGGCTGTCAGGGTTTTGCACAAGGGCTATTCCTTGAGCCGCAGCTCTGCTTTTTCTGTGAAGATGGTTGACTGGAGTCTCCTGGACTTTTCTTGTGATCCTCAGATCTCAGCCTCCTGAGGACCCAGGAATTTTCATATGTGTTTCGGATTTATCTGGAAATGTGCAAAAGTCAGGGAAGTTTCAGCTAACCTTCATTTTTCACTATATACTTACCATATTATGGTTCTTCAGGGTAAAGACCTGTCATCCCATATGGCTCAGAAAAATTATGTCACCTCTTTCATAAAGTGCAACAGGTGTACTGTAGTGCCTACCTGTAATCCTAGTTACTTGGAAGGAAGACAGTGAGATGACCTCATTTCAAGCCACCAGCCACCTAGAAAAATTTTAAGACATCTTGTCAACTCATAACTGGGCACACTGGCACATGTCTGTCATCCCAAGCTACCCTGGAAAGCTGAGAATGGAAAGGTGTGATTCTAAGGTAAGCTGAGGCAGAAAAACCCAGGAGACTTCCTCTGTACTTCCAAATGGACACAAGTGCCATGGCCCTATCATTCCAGCAACCACAGGAAGCCTAAAATGGGTGGATCCGAGCTCAGGAATGCTCTTGCACAAAATGTGATCCCCTTTCTCAAAAATAATGAAAAATAGAACCAAGGCTCAAATGGTAGGGTGTCAGACTAGCAAGCACAAGCTCCTCAGTTTCACCAAAATAAACCAGCAAACCAACAATTCAACCAAAAGATAACTTCCTGATTCATGGGGCTTTGGCACTATGGCATTAGGTAAGCAAAAATAAACAAAGTGAATTTTCTAATTATAAACAGTCTATTCTACTATGGAATAATTATCAGCTACTATATGTAAGATAAACTTGGAAAGTTCATTGACTGCACTATATGGAATGTTATGAGTTTATGGAATGTTATGAGTTACCTATTTATGTATTAACTTGTATGCACTAGCATTTCTTTTTAGACTGCTTTTACTTATGTTCAAAGCATGGGTATTGAAAATCTTATTTTTATTTATGTTCCATCAAAAATCTATCTTTACTATAAACTTCAGCAGTCTCATTAGGATTTTATTATAGGAAGAACCTTAAGGTTTTGTCTATTTGCCTGTTTGTTTATTGATTTGGTGCTGAAGACTGAGTCCAGGGCTTATTGTATACTAAGTGTATGTCCTACCATAAGGGTAGAACTATTCCTCTCCCTCAATCCTTTTATTATTTATCTTATTTATGAGGTCTCAGAGAAGGAAAGGGAGCTGTGTAGTGCTAGGTAAAGAATATATATATATATAATATATATAATATACATATATATATAATATATGTATATATATAATATACATATATATATAATATACATATATATAATATACATATATATGTTATTTATTTATTTTGTCATCTAAAACTTGTTCATCCAGGATACATTGATTGTGTCAACTATTGTAGATTTGGGCTGGGAAGGTGGCTCAGTGGTAGAGTGCTTGCCTAGCATGCATGAGGCCCTGGGTTCAATTCCTCAGTACCACATAAACAGAAAAAGCTGAAAGCAGTGCTGTGGCTCAAGTGGTAGAGTGCTAGCCTTGAGCTGAAGTGCTGAAGGACAGGGCCCAGGCCCAGAGTTCAAGCCTCATGACCGACAAACAAACAAACAAACAAAAATATTGTAGCTTCAACAATTTGCAAGTTATGTACTTGGCATATAGCATACAGAGAGGAAACTGAGATGTAAATAAACTTAAACATTATGTGAAGTGTGGTATTATTGCAGATGCATGTATACATTAGCAAAGGAACTTAGAAGACAAATAACTTGTCATGTTTGTGCTGGGAGAATGGAAAGGTGTGGTGCTATATGTATCTCATAGGAAATTGCTGGAAAAGTCTTCATTTAAATTTGGGCTTAGAAAATTGTAGAAGTTTTCCAGCTGAGTAAGTATAGATACAACATTGGCAGGAAAGTGAGACTCTGCGTAATCCTAGATAATGCACTGTCATTGAATCTGGTGTGGGTGAGAAATGATGCAAAGATGGTTGTCACTTTCCACCGCCTATATGTTAGACAAACTTATTTAAAGGCAAAAAAAACCCCATTCATGACAAGGAAACAAATGTATTGTGATTACACACTAGATTCTACCTTCTTCTGTGAAATTCCTTCTTCTACTTTTAAAACAGTGATCTTGTGCATTTCTAGATATATTTGATAGAAAGAATGCAAATTTGGTGTTTTGGCCACCTGCATAAGAAATTTTGTACTTCAGAATGTTTGGGCATGAAATTTCTATTAGGCATTTTTCTTTTTTCCAACACTCCAATTCTGACAACAAGAGCAATATATATGGAATTTGCTTTCAAGCTAAAATCTTTATCATTTCCAAACAGAAAGCTTTCAGTGCTGTGGTTGAGTTAAATTATGAGAGCCAGAGATGACGTTTAATCATAGCTCTTTAATTTGGAAGCTAGTGAGCAGTTTTCCCTTATCATTTAATGGGATTGAACTTGTGATCAGACCAGTTTTAATACTGCATGAGACAACTGTTCCCTCTACAGTATAAAGGGTTGTGATAAAAAATACCACGCTGACCAACTGACTAAGGAAGAATTTAATCTATTTACTAGAAAGATGGCCTAGGTTATTGATGGGCTACAATATTGCAATTCCCATGAACTATGACTGGACAGTGCTATAAGTATTGAAGATAAGATCTGAAATCAGAGGAGAAAACTATATGGAGAGTAGAATTGCTATTCAGCTAGTCCATGCTGACATCTTGCCGTATTGGAAGGACCTTTGAGGGCATTTGGTAATTGTTTTCATAAATCTACTAAATGAATTTCTTCTGTTGGAGCTAATTCTAGGACAACTAGCTGAGTAGGTAGGGATTTTTTCACTGTCACTGTTGGCCATGGTGGCATACCATAAACATGAAGCCCAAGTGAGAGGTGAGCTAGACTCACAGATAGTAACCAAGGATAGGTTAGGGTAAGACAGTACAGGAAGGAAGAAAAGTCTGGTGGTTGCTAAGGGATGCCATGAGAGGACTAACCCATAGATTAGACATGTGTATTTCTTATAAATTCTAACAGCGCATGCAGAGGTCAAATTTTCTTCAATTTAACAGAGACCTTATTGAGTTACTGTGACATCCTAGTTGTTATTTGCTGTGGCATAAAAATGAATAACATGTTTCTGCCTCTGGAAGAGTCTGTGCTACTTTAGAAAATGTAGCCACCTACAATCCTATATGCATGAGCTGTGAAAGAAGTATGCTGAAGCTGAGGTATCACCTCAGCTACCTCGGGTGAATCTGAAGCTCGGCAGGCTTTAAAAGGGAAAGAATATAGGTGCAGAGAAACTATTTTAGGATGGAAGAGAAGTAGTGTGATAAGTGCAAAAAAAGACTCTGAAGTGATTTGACAGGAGTAGAATATGAAATGGTGAGACAGATATCACAGGGAAGGACATACCAGGCAGAGACTCGCATTAGCTTCTTCTAGTAGAAAAAGAATTGACATATTATTTAGAAGTATCACTATAACAGTTATATGGAAGGTAGATTAGTAGGGATTAGAATAAAGTCAGGAAGACTAGTGGGAGAGACTTTTCCTATAGTCTGGATGATGGGAGAGGACTGAAGTAAGATTAATTGTTCGCAGATCGAAAGGCAAAGAAACCCAGGAATAATGTCCTGGTGCAAACTTATCATTCATGATGGAGGATGATGGAGAAAGAGCTGCCCAAATTTTCATGCCAAACTAACAGACTTCAGGAAAGAATTGATATCTGAACAAATGGGCAGAAGGAGTCCTAAATAGGAAAGCTAACAGAGGTATTGAAAGAGATTCCAGAATGGGAATTGTTATCCAGAAAGTTTTTTTAAATAAATCACTTTTATTACTTCATAATTTCTTTTTTTGGTACGTTTTTTATTGTGAAAATGCTGTACAGAGGGGTTATATAGGTTGAGCCATTGCAACAATGAGATGTACAAAACACTATGTTGAAAACCAACTTTACAACTTTGGCAGGGGGTGGGAGGGTTGGGTAATTGTGGAGGTGGGAGGGAAGGGATAGTAAGGGGAAAACAAAGGAGGAGGCAACTATGCTCAATAGGAAATGTACTCATTACCTTGCTCATGTAACAGAAAGTTCTATTGGAACATTTAAATCCAAAGAGAACTGAGGGCACAAGTACCCATCAGAGTTTAGGATCAAATCTTAGAAAGAAATGAGAAGAATTCAAAATGTTCACAGAAAGTCAACAGGGATACTTTTTCATATCTAGAACAGACAGGCTATCACAGAATGGAGCCACATACTAGCAAGAATCACTATTGCTCCCATGGCTTACCATTTTGTGATAGCAATGAAAGGAAAGCTGTTGACACCTGCTCTTCTGCTAAAAGCCAGGTCCTGCATGTCCCATTGCTTACACATTTAACTCTGAGGGGACTCCAATATCAATTATCCCCGTATGTTATAAACCTGTAAAGTTAATGTTTTTCTTTCACTATAAGAAAGTTGTACTCTTTCTTCTTGGCCTTTGACCCACTGTATTGATGTTCCAGTTCTTCTCTTTATTTAGTGTGTATGCTTGATGAGGGAAGTCTTGTACGTCATTACATTTTTAGTACTTATTACAGCACTGCTTTAAATGTAGAAAAAGTAAT